ATACCTGTGTTAACAATTATAATAACTTCTACTAAATATTCTATATTTAAAAACAAACTTTATAAATATTATAGTTTAGCTATAATATTATAATTTTATTAAACATACTTAATACTAAAGCTTTAAATATAAGCTAACAATTATCTTATATATATTAAGCTAAAAAGTATGTTAATATATAACTTTAAATACATTTTAAGTAGTATAAGTATTATCTTAGAGATATATTAATAATATTTATTACCTTTATTACTCTCTATAATAAAGTTATTAAATAGTTAGACGCTTTATATACATTACTTTAGATTAAGCTAAAAGATAAATATAGCTATTTTATAAACTATATTAAAGTAATAAATAAAACTCTCTTATTTACCTATATATTTATATAGATAAAAAGGAGGTTTGTTAGTTATAAAAGCTAGCTATAATAAAATATACTTTATATAATCTAATTTAATAGAATAATTATATATATACTAATAAATATAAAAAGATCTATAAGTAATATAGCGTTAATATATTAGGTATAATATGGTTTATCAGTCAGCCAGCCAGACCAGTCAGCCGGACGTTTTTTTCCCACGTACACAACAACATCTAGTATTTCTCAACCACAACGCATTAAATCAACTACTAGTTGTCGCTATCAGAATCTCCTGAGGGTTCAACATCTTTGGAACAGGTTCGCGCGTTATGCCCAGTCTCACCACATATACCACAGCGTCTCTAAGCTGGCTAGGCTCTCTTTGATGGACCCCCCTCGTCGTCCTCTTGAGGTGCTGGACGTTTCCCTTTTTGTTTCCCTTCAAGTAAAACCTGAGATTCCTCTATACTAAGTGCCCCTCTAAGCTGGACCTGCGTTCTTTTAGCCCTCTAGTGCTTAGCAAGTGCTATATTCACATCCTTAAGGGTATGAAGCTGATCAGTCAAAACAGTGATTAAGTGCGCTATTACCTATGCACCCTTTAATAATTGCTCAACTGCAGCAATAATTAGTGTCAGTAAGCTTCCTTAATAAGCAAAGATATAACTTTTAATAAAGTTAGACTGCGAGATGGTTTGTTATGGGTTAGAGGGCGTTTGCGACTGCTAAGGTGGAGGTGTTGAAGGGTTGGCTATAGGAGTGTTACGGTCAGCTATCCAACAGTAGGGTCTGCTAACAGAAGCTGGGGATTAATACGTTCTAACAGTACACTGAGTTGCAGTCGTAGGTCGTAGTTTGTAGGCTGTAGTAGATCGGTTCTTCAGAGGCTAAGGTGATCAGTCTTAGACTTAATAAGTGATTTGCAGTGAAGGTAAGCTGAGAGTATCCATGAGGATGAATACTAAGTTAATTACTAAAGAGCTAAAGAAGTCTGACCATAAGCTAGGCTCAGGGTTATACTATATATAAGTCTAATTCTGAACATATTCCTTTATACCTTAGGTTGATCTGGATCATTCCGATCCAGAATGATCGTTTAGCCCCTAAATCGTGTTGGATCATATTGATCTAATATGATCGTTATCTTATCATCACGTGACTTAGACTATAGTTCTTCTGTTACTAAGTGAGTCCCTGTTGTTCCTATGATCCTGCAGTATAAATATCCTGTCCTAGCCGCCCGACGCCTAAGTGGGTCGGTCAACTGTTATCCATGCATAACGGGTCGTAACAAGGAGGTGTAGGCGTCTGTAAATGCACATCAAGCTTTTTGATGACATAGTCTGGGTCCTATGGTGAAATTCCAGCGCCTTAGAAAGCAGACCTGATGTTTTCCTTATTAAAAACCTTATTGTAGGCCTAGTGGAAGGCAATAAAGAACTCAGACTTAGTGATATGATTTATAGAGGCTCTGATAAATTAGTTGATTCCATCACTATATATGCGTTCTAAAGGCGAATAAAGGGCAACATCTAATAGCTGTAGTAGATACGATAAATATGCAGGTATACTAACAGTTATAATATTATTCTGCTTATAGTAATCATTAAATTCAGCTGACAAATAGCTCTTATAGCTGTTAATAATAAGCATCTAGTAGACGCCCTTCATTTGGTTCTTAGTGTGTTTATCAAAATGTTTAATCCAGTTAAGACCTATCTAATTATCCATCTATCTATTAGCAGTAGGTTTAATCACCCAGTTACCCAGAAAACCTGATTCCATAGTCCAACTAGCAAGGTGATATACGCCCTTAACAATCACAAACAGAGGGATGCACCACCCACCTAAATTAATATATTTGATAACTGTAGCCTATTTAAAGTTGCTAGGCTGGACAGACTTTGCTTTGCTGTGTTGATCAGCATATATAACCACTATCAACGTAGTGATCATGCCCATCATGAAGCCAGTTTTATCAAAATTATATAGGTCCCCCTCTTAGATGCCATACTTAGCTATCATATTACATAATAGCGCAAACCACTTTAATATAACCTTAGGATCTTCTTAAAGAGCCCTTTAATAATTATATAGATAATTAAACTTAGTTTTCAGAGCAGGCTGTAAGTCCACAAACCGCCTGGCCTATTGCTTGCTAACAGGCTTACTATTACAGGCTCGCAGCAGGAGATTAGCCATATCTTCCACACTGCTGAGGCGGAAAGGAAATCCTCTGGAATCCTGTTCAATAACGTATTAGAGAAGTGTTTTCTCTTCGATCAGATTAAGTTTATATCCTTATGGTTAAGCTTATTTGCGTTGCAGTCGGTTGTTCATTCTATCAGCTAAGGTGCTCTTTAGGATACTGTAGGTCTTTGCAGCATGTGAAATGCTTAAGTTATTACCTGCAGCGCGTGTCGATCGGATCGCTTCAATCGCAAGAATAACTTTATCTTCTTAGGTGTAGATTAGCATTATGGTTGTTAAGATTTTACGCGTTAAAGGTTTAAGTGATTTGGACGTAAGAGTGTTTAGAAAAAAACGTCCGGCTGACTAGTCCAGCCGGCTGACTGATAAACCACATTATAATAATAATTTAAATTTATTAATAAAAATCTTCTAAATATATCTTGATAACTTAGCTCTAAAAACTCTACTTATATTTATAGTAAAATATTACTTATTATATAATTAATATATAGATTTTAATTATTAAATAAATTCTTTCTATTAACTTATTCTTAAGTTAAAATAAAGAATAGCTATAAAGCTTTATAAAACTAAATAACTTTTATTATCAACAAAAAGAATAAAAAGTATAAAGCTAATATAGTAGTAATAGAAATATCTTTATACCCTCTTTAGTATTAAGGATCCCTATATTATCTTAAATACTATTACTTTTTTTATTATTAAAAGAAATACTTAAAATCATTATTATAGTAGCTATTATTGTTATTATTATCTAACTATAAAAAAGATATGAAAGTTAATAAACCCTCTATCCTTTACCTCGCTTTATGAAAAATTTAATACTAATAAAAACCTTATACTAGTAAACTATTTATAGTAAAACGACGTATTAAGAAAGTAGTGAGTTAACGCCTTAATCGCTAGTTATAGCAGTATGAGGAGGTCTCTGAGACAGTGGCGGCGGGGGTCAAAAGTCCTGGTTTTTAGCTCCTGGCACACATCCAATTACACCATAAGTCTACGTGGCTGTTCAACGTGTTCTTTATTGCCTGTCTAGCATAAAAGATGAGTTTACACAGACTGTAGCGTGAACTTCCAGCTTCCTCTCGACAGTTCGTTGGCTACATGTATCCCGAAAATTTCTTTGACGGTCTCAGTGGCATGTCTGAAAGGGGCATTCCGGAGGGGCAAGTTGGGGCCCTGGCCAGGGTGCGGGACCGACAGGCGCTAACAGCATCACATGCCGCTTGGATACGGGGGAGACCTGGGGGTAAAACATGGTTCCTGTCGGGTAAGATGGGCATTTGACTTCGTCAATGGACGCGTATTCGACGTCTGGCTGATCCAGGCAACCGTCAACCAAAGACAGGTGTTTGTTTCTCTGGCAGACTCAGGCACGAACCTTAGCGTTGCCACATATATATTTTTTGTCAAACTAGGTGTTCCTTAAGCGGTTTCTCGTGGTATTGAAGACGGCATCGTGCGTCGGTGAGCCCTGCAACAGCCCACGGACCGAGATGAGATGAAAACATGAGTTGTCGAGTCGTCCCTGCCAGGTCCGGTTTCAGCATTGCTTAAGTGATCCTTATCGGCTTATCGGACGCCCCTCAATGACGTCGGCCAATCCAGGTGTAGCAGGCACGCACTGGGATCTCATCCAGGCCCCTCCCTTCCTCGTTGCGACGCCCCTCCGATCAACCGCAAGTGCGCGGCTTCTAGCGGGTAAGGAAGGTGCGCCCCCAAAACGATCCCCGGTCGTGGTGCGCCCTCCAGTGTCCCCGCCACGAGTGTCCCCTCCACTCAGCTCGCCCCGCTGCATCCGCCAAGGTGAGAGCTCACTTGACCTGGAGAGAAAGTGCCTGCACCGTGACCTGCTCTGTCCGCGTGCTCAGGACCCCCATTCCCCACCCTGTCACTCAACTCACCTCTCTCGTCCTCCGAGCGCTGACACTGGTTGCTGCTGCTGCTGCTGCTGCTACTACTACTGCTACTGATGCGCCTATACCTGCACCGGCTGCTTGCATCTGCACCTTCTCCCACCTCTACTGGTCGCCGTCGTACAAGTGCTCTTCCGCCTGCCTCACCTTAAGACGGACTTTCCGTCTTACACAGCGCCCGGACGGGATCATCTGGGACGTGGGATCTGGAACCCTTCGAACGCAGGCCCCCGACTCTTACTTGAACCTTCACCTCGACTCGGTCCGGCCAGGCCATCCCGTCTGCGCAACCCCTCGCCTGACGTCGGCTGTCCTGCCCTGCTGAGCTTCTTCCATCAGGTTCCCGCTGCCGCTGCGCGTGCGCTGACCGATCCGTGTGCAAGGCTGCCGCCATCCATCTCTTCTTCGCTGATACAACATCTCTTTCTCTCTCACACACCTTCTCGACCTTTTCCCTACCTGCTGCTTCCCTTACCGATACTCCCACCCGAAGCGCAACCATGTTCGACATATTCGCCCATCTCTTATCGTGAGTACAGCCCGCGCGGGGCACCCTGCCGCCCCTCCGATCCTGTTCTATCCAAGGCCCTCTCCCATCCTTCTCTCTGGGGGAAGCCTCCGCCGATTCCGGACTACTCACTGACTTCGCGACGCCGCGCCGCAGTTCCATCGCATCCTTCCTCTTCCCCCTCTTCGCCTCTTACAAGGCCCTCAAGACCTCCGACCCCGCCCAGCTGACGCCATGGCTCATGTACTGGGTCGTCCTCGCCTGCGCGCTCCTCGTCGAGTCCTGGACTGAATGGATTCTCGTCTGGTATGTCGCAACTGCCCTCTCCTCTGCAATTGCGCCGGCTAACACCACTAGGATTCCCTTCTACGCCTACATCCGCCTTTTCTTCCTCCTCTACCTCGTCCTCCCCCAGACCCAGGGCGCCCGCATCATCTACCAGACCCACGTCCACCCATTCCTCCAAGACAACGAAGCCCAAATCGAAGAATTCATCTCGGAAGCCCACGACCGCCTCAAGGCCGCTGGCATCGCCTACCTCAAGCGCGCCATTGAGCTCATCAAGACGAACGTTCTCGGCTTGCCTCCAGGCGAGCCCGAACCCGCCGCTACCCCGCCCCCGGCTTCTCAGTCCTACACCCAGTCGCTGCTTGCCCGGTTTAGCGTCCCTGCCGCGCGCTGGGCACCCGCCGGTAACACCGGCACCGACTTCTACAACCTCCTCGCCGGCGCCGTCTCGGCTGCCACCGGTGGCGGCGTGACCGGCCACCCACACCAGGACCTCTCCAAGTCTGGCAACCTCATCCCGCCGGAGCTGCAGGGAGGCGAGCGAACAAGCTTCATCGCCGCGCAGCGCGAGCGCCTGGCCTTCCTCCTCAAGGTTCTGGAGCGCGAGGCTGCCGTCACCGAGGGTCAGGTGCCTGGCAGGGCGGCAAGCATGCAGCTGGACGGGGCAGACGACGACGAGCCTACGCAAAGGCCATTGAGCGCGCACAGCGGGCTGAGCAAGTCGCGCAGCGAGACCGACTTTGAAAAGATTGATGCTGAGAGCGGGGCCGAGGACCAAGACGGCGAAGGGACCGTGAGGCGGAGACAGGGCGGGGGATCGTCGTGGATGCCGTTCGGATGGGGCTCCACGCCGACGGCTGAGAATCCCGACGGTGGGTCTAGCTCTGGCGTGCAGAAGTAGTGTCTCGCTTCTCTTTTGATTGAACTTGGCTACGGAGTTTTGTGGGTTCTATGTCTGATTTTGCTAGATTCGGCCGGGCGGAGCATCGGATGGACAGACTTGTAAGACGTCTTCGGGGACCAGAAAACACTGCGCTCCCCTCAATCCCCTCTTGTTCAGGGCTGAATAGACGGGGCTCATCGCTAGCAGTCGATGTCGCTTCTCACGAACCGATCTGAAGTCTTTCGTCAAGGCAAGCTGCTGTTGTCGCTACGTAAAATGCCTATGCGTCTATGCGCGTTTCTCATGCCATATGATCTGGTCTATTTATACAGGAGAGATTCCCATCCAATCGTACATATTTTTATTCCTCGTGGGTCTATACACCTCACCACCCCTTGCATCTTGTTTTCTTTCCATGTTTTTCGGTTAATTACTGTGTCTTCTTGAACGGGTACGCAATGGGTACATCCTTGCGGGTCCAGACGAGCTTCTTCTTGCCCGTGGTGACGTGCTCGCACCACACCTCTAGGGCGTACTCCTTCTTGAATGCGCGGATGAAGACAGGGTCCCACAGGTCGGAGGCGATACCCAGGTCCTTGCAGCAGCGCATCAGGGCATTGGATTTGCAGCCCTCGACGGCGGAGGGGAGGTTCTCGACGTTGAAGTAGCCGTTTTCGCCTTGTGCCTGGGAGATGAATCTGCGTGGTGATAAAATTAGTCTTGCTGCTCTGTCTCATTCCCGGAGAGACAACGAGAAGCGAGGAGATATTAGGTTCACGTACCGTCCCTCGGCGATGAGCGCATACTCCCTCGTCACGATCCTCTCGCCGACGACGACCTCGCCCTTGGGCACCAGGCCCCAGCCGCCGGGGCCGAACGCCTGGTTTAGGATGCGGCGGTACTTGATCTCGGGCAGGTAGATGATGCCGTCGGGCTTGACCTCGACGTCGGCCGGGTTGACGGGCTGCAGCAGGATGTCGACGACCTCCTTGGGGAAGCGCGCCGTGCCGAGGCCGTAGTATGATCTCGTCCAGTCCACGACGCCGTTGCCGTTGCCGTCCTCGCTTCCACTCGTGTTGCCGTTACTGGTGCCGTTGTCGAAGGGCGCGGTGGGCAGCGGGGTGGAGGAGGAGAGCGAGGGGCCGATGGCGGCGTCGGCTTCGGGGGTTGATGCTGCTGCTGCGGGTGGCGGGGGCGGGGGTGATGGGGGCTTGGGCGCCGGCTTGGTGTATGGCTTCTTGACTATCGGCGTCGCGGCGCGGGAGACGGCGGGCTTCGGGGCGGGTTTGGGGGCTGTTGCTGTCGCGGCGGCGGCTGCTTTTGTGCGTGTTGTGGTGGTTATTCTGGCGATTTGGGTGGCGGGGCGGGTGAGGCGCAGGAGCGGGCGGAGGGCTTGCTGGGAAGCCATGGCGGGGATCATTAGGGGATTCGTATGCTTTCTGCAAATAAATCAGGAAAGAGAGAGCGGTAGAGAATAATGTTGGACGGAGCAGGCGGCGCAAATGGGTGTTTGCGCGCTGTCGATGTTGATATCGTGAAGGGGCGGCAGCGGCGGCGACTGGTGATTGAGAGATTGAAATTTGGCCGGGGCGGAGGAACGCCGTGCCGTGGACTGGAGCTTGGGCCACCGCTTAAATGGGGACCGTGTGAGTGACGCCTCGGCACTGTTGCGGTCGTGGAGCAGTCGGTCAGTCCACTTCGTTCTGAGGGCATCATGATGTTGTTGATGGGAGTTATGTACAGTAATTATACACGAATCGTACACTTCTTTCATGCCGCAGAGTCGAGAATCAGGCGTCTTTGGTGTCTGTCCGGGCATCGTTCCCCTGCTGCTTCCAACAGCTCTTGAACCGCTCCATCTGGGACAACCCCCGTCGTCAGCTTCGCTCATCACGTTGGTTGGCAAGGGGGGAAATTGGACGAACCTCGGCGGTGCATTGTCGCCAGTCCTTTTTTTCGAAATAGCAGTCTGTCAATTTCGCATTCTCGTCTGTTGAACAGCGTGTTAGCGCAAGCCATTGCCGGCCGATCGTTCCGTGGCTGGATCGGAGAATGCGGTTGGACGTTTACCTGCGCAGCCGGTGCTGAAGATGCGCTTGTCCCTGCATGGCAACGTTAGCCGCAGTCCCTGCGTTTTTGTTTTGATGGCTGTCGACGATTTTCCTCCGAGATGTTTTTTCCTCATCGATTTCACAACACGAAGGTCGCAGTCTCGGAGAAGAGTGAGATTCCGTCGAGGTGAAAAAGGAAATACGCACCAGTCATCAGGCTCGTCGTCTGCTGCCGCCTTCTGCGCCGCGTCGCTCTCTTGCTTGGACATTGTTTCCTCCTGCCCGATCTCCGCTGCGAGAGTTGAAGTTTGCGCTGATTGATGAGTGCAGGCTGCTTTTACTTCGTCGGATGTGAGGAAGGGAGAAAGAGTCAAATTCAGCATTGCGGAATTGTTGGGGTTCAGCACTTCAGGACAGTGCCCCTAAATTTTCAGCGTTTGACTCCCAACGACGGGGCTTATTCACTCACTCACTCACTCACTCACTCATCCCTCACAACCCATCTCACCGGCCACCGCCAACATTACACCATGGCACCTCGGAAACTGAACGTGCTGGTCTACAGCGGCAAGCAACCTCCCAAATCTCATTCCACGTCCTCAAACTGACACTCACGACAGGCACCGGCACGACCCTCGAATCAGTCCGCCACGCCCTCCTCACCCTCCGCCACCTCCTCTCCCCCACCTACGCCGTCATCCCGCTCCCGGAGCCCGCGCTGCTCAAGGAGCCCTGGCAGGCGACATGCGCGCTGCTCGTGATCCCGGGAGGCGGCGACCTGGGCTACTGCCGCGTGCTCAACGGCGCCGGCAACCGGCGCATCGCCGACTTCGTCCGCAAGGGCGGGTCGTACCTCGGCTTCTGCGCGGGCGGGTACTACGCCTCGCGCAAGTGCGAGTTTGAGGTTGGCGACAAGACGCTCGAGGTCATTGGCACGCGCGAGCTGGGCTTCTTCCCCGGGACGTGCCGCGGCGGCGCGTTCAAGGGGTTTGCGTACCATAGTGAGAGCGGGGCGAGGGCTGTGAGGCTGAGTACGGCTGAGGGGGAGGTGGTGAGCTATTACAACGGGGGCGGGGTGTTTGTTGATGCGGAGGGGTGTTCGGGGGTTGAGGTGCTTGCGAGTTATGCGGATGAGATTGACGTTGATGGCGGGGATGGGAAGGCTGCGGTGATTTACTCCAAGGTTGGGAACGGGCATGTCGTTCTCACCGGTCCTCATCCCGAGTAGGTCACTTGCCTCCTTTATGATGGCTCAACTAACGATACCCAGATTCGCCGCCGCAAACCTGCACCCCCAGCCCAAGATCCCCTCCTACGAAACCCTCATCGCGACGCTCGCAGCAGCCGACGCAGCCCGCATCTCCTTCCTCCGCACCTGTCTCGCCAAACTCGGCCTCGACCTCAGCGCCGACCCGTCCGCTCCCCCGGTGCTGTCCCGCCTGCACCTGACCTCGGCGAACCACACCGAGGTCGCCGAGACGCTGGCCTCCTGGGAGGAGGCGATCACGCGCACCGGGGACGGGGAGGAGTACATCCACGGCGAGCACGACGTCTTCCGCATCGAGAAGCAGGCCACGCGATTCAGCGTCGAGGATCTGCGGGACGCGCTGCCGTCAGGGGCCATGGACTACGACAAGGTGGTCAAGGTCATCGTCCCGCACGAAGAGGCGTGGCCGGATGTCAAGGAGACGCCGAGCTTCAACCACCGGCTGTATTACAACAGCTTGAAGGGGTACCGTGAGAAGGAGAAGGAGGCAGAGGAGTGGGGCGATACGTTGTTGTATGGTGAGGTTGTGACGAGCACGAACACGCTCATGGACAAGTAGGTTTTCTCTTTGTATGTGATACGAAGACGTGCTGACTTTGGCAGAAACAACAAGCTCCTGTCTTGTCTCCCGACCGGCTTCACGCTGACGGCAGCAGTCTCCGTGGCGGCCCGCGGCCGTGGCACAAACGTCTGGATCGCGCCGCCTGGAAGCTTGCTCTTCTCAACGGTCATCAACCATCCCGCACACCTGGCCGCCTCTCACCCGATTGTGTTCCTGCAGTACATCTCTGCGATCGCCATCGCCGAGGCCGTGCAAACCTACGATGTGGGATGCGGCGATATCCCAATCAAGCTCAAGTGGCCCAACGACATCTGTAAGTCTCCTCGCATCTATCTTTCCTCGAAGAACTCTTGATTAACAACAACCACAGACTGCCGCGACCCCGCCTCCTCCCCCTCGGACCCCTCCTACGTCAAGATCGGCGGCATCCTCTCCACCTGCAGCTACTTCCAGGGCTCGTACCAGTGCGTCGTCGGCATCGGCATCAACACGACCAACACGCGCCCGACAACCTCGCTCAACGCCATCGCGCCGGCCTCGCTACCCGGCGGCTTCCACATCGAGACGCTGCTCGCGCGCATCCTGCCGCGCTTCGAGGCCATCTACGCGCAGTTCCGCCGCGAGGGCTTCTCGCGCGACCTCGAGGAGCGGTACTACAAGCACTGGCTGCACTCCGGGCAGACGGTGACGCTGGAGCAGGAGGCCGGCGCGCGGGCGCGGATCGTGGGTATCACGCGCGACTGGGGCCTTTTGAAGGCGGTCGAGGTTGATAGGGATGGGCGCGAGACGGGGCGGATGTGGGCTTTGCAGAGCGATGAGAATAGTTTTGATTTTTGGAAGGGGTTGGTGAAGAGGAAGTTGTAGTTCGGGTGCGGCGTCTCCGACTGTCGGTCCTGAGGAGTCCAGAACACCAGCGCTGTTGTTGGAAAGTTGACAAAAGTCCGGGATAATCGTATACCGAGCTTACGCTCATCAAGAACGGTGCCAGGAAGCGTCCCATGCTTGTAGGCACGAAAACATCCCGTGAATGACCGACGGGGACATCCTACGGGACCCATTTAGGAAAGCAGAAGTCCCTGTCGCGATGCTCCATCCCCGGACCTGAATCTTAAAGCCGTCTTACCTGCCTGAACATCTCATCCTCATCCACCTCCAATAGTTTCCAACGTGGAAGTTTGAAGTACACAAAATCGTACCTTGCAGCATGCTCTCGCCCGAGTTGCCCAAGCCCGTCTTACACTTCCCAAGTCAGCCCACGCAGGCTACCCATTCCGGCCGCCCGGCACACAGCGGAACCGCTCCGCACACGGCCCACATAACCCCCGTCCCCCGATCCTGCCGGCGGTCAGAATTCCTCCGCCGATGACCCGACTGCTATTAAATCAGCGCACGTCATGATGCTCTCCCTGAGCCCAGAAAAACCCGCCGAAGCCCTCCAGCCAACCAAAGTCCCCCAAAACCCACAATGATCATCGCCGCGAACGCTGGACTGCTAGCGGCACGTGGCGCTCGGCTGAGGACCCCCTTAGCTTATTATGGCGTCCCCTCATCGCAGCTCCCGAAGTTCTTCATCGCGCAACGAAACCTCACCTTCATCCACGACAACGCAAGACGCAAACCTCACTCACCCTCACTGCCCAGCAGACGAAAATTCACAATGGCGACCGACGAACAGCCCAAGATCAAGCTCTTTTGGTCCGCCCCGCCTTGACCCTTCAATTGGAGCACATCACACTAACCAACCCCCCAGGCTCAACGACTCACGCGCGCAAAACATCCTCTGGCTCCTCGAGGAACTCAACCTCAGCTACACGACCGAGGTCTTCCTCCGCCAGCCGAACCGCCTCGCGCCGCCGGAGCTCACGCAGGTGCATCCGCTCGGCAAGTCGCCCGTGCTCGAAATCACGCCACCCAACGGCGGCGAGCCCATCAAGCTCGCCGAGAGCGGCTACATCACGCAGTACCTCGTCGACCACTTCGGCCAGAACAAGCCGTCTCTGGTGCCGCGCAAGTGGAAGGAGGGCCAGGAGGGCAAGGTTGGCGGCGAGACGGAGGCGTACGCGCGGTTCCAGTACCTGCTGCACTACGTCGAGGGCACCTTCTTCCCGACGCTGGTGCAGTACCTCCTCTTCAGCAGTATGCCCCTTCCACCCTCTTTCATTATTTGCTCTTATTGCGCGTGTCTCGCTAACATCGCCCAGTTCTCAAATCAGACAACGTCCCCTTCTTCATCCGCCCCATCACCTCCCTCGTCGTCAACAAGGTCATGGCCCTCGTGCTCTTCCCCAATGCGCAGAAGAACCTCGCCCTGCTCGAGTCGTACCTCAAGACCGCGCCGGGCGTGGCCGACGGCAACGGCTTCCTCTGCGGCCCGGAGCTTAGTGCCGCGGACATCCTGCTCAGCTTCGGGCTCACCACGGCGGATCACCTCGGCGCGTTCGACGCGATGGGCACCTGGGAGGGTGGTTCGGCGCGGGCGGCGTACCCCGTGGTGGCTGCGTATATTGACCGGATCAAGAAGGAGCCTGGGTATTTGAAGGCGAGGGAGAAGGCGAAGGAGATCGAGGGGAGGAAGTAGTGTCTATAACAGAGAAAGCCGGTAGGAGCATAAGAGTTGAAAGAGTAATTGTTTTGGCGCCCACCAAACTTCATATGTAGATGACTAATTTTGCTATCCGGGCGGGTGGTAGGCAAAGACGATAATAGGGACAACAGTAACAGGGACGATAACGACAGGTACGATGACAACAGGGACGACAGTAACAACAAGGACAACAAAATTATACACATAAGAAGAACTGTCAGACCTAATATAATAGTTGTCCGCCCGGCTACCTCGAAGCATCCCTCCGGATAGCAAGACTCTAGATGAAAGGTTGGACGGTTTGCTGCCGAGTCCCGTGATCTGAATGCATGTCTCGGACGCAGTACCGCAAAGTAAACCCAAAGAGGCGTCGAGGCGTTGGGGAAGTGCGGGGAGCTAGTACATCATCAACACAACCACACTCTTTCATTTATCTAGCCAAATGTCCAACGGCAACCCTCGTCCACACCACTGCTAACTTCTCGTTATCAATTGACTCACAGCCATGGCCCCAAATATCCCCCCACTCATCGCTCTCGAAGAGCACTTCATCGCCCCGGCCCTTCTCCCCGAGCTCTCCGACATTTACGCAGAACAACTCAAACACCTCCCCGACATCGCCGCGCGCCTCACGGACGTCGGCCCGCTCCGCCTCGCCGACATGGACAAGAACCACATCGCGCTGCAAGCCGTCTCCCACGCGCCGGGCCTCGCCTCCCGCCCAGCGCGGATGAGCGTCCTCGCCAACGACACCCTCGCCGAGTCCATTCGCGCGCACCCGCGCCGCTTCGTGGGCCTGGCGGTGCTGCCGATGGCGGATCCCCCGGCTGCGGCGGCGGAGCTGAGACGGTGCGTTAAGGAGTTGGGGTTTGTGGGCGCGCTGGTCGATGCACACGCTGACGGGACGCATTACGACGCCGAGAAGTTCTGGGAGGTCTTCAGGGTAGCGGCGGAGCTGGACGTGCCGATCTATCTGCACCCGACGTGGCCATCGCAGGTGCAGCAGGAGGCGTACGACGGCAACTTTGAGCTCGGGGCGGCGAAAAGCCTGGGGACGAGCGGGTTTGGGTGGCATCAGGAGACGGGCCTTGCTGTGCTCAAACTCTTCGCCGCCGGGCTTTTTGACGAGGTGCCCGGGCTGAAGATTGTGATTGGGCATTTTGGGGAGATGCTGCCGTTCATGATGGAGCGGGTTGACAAGTTGTCGGTGAGATGGGGGCCCAGGAGGAGGGCGTGGAAGGAGGTCTGGGAGGGGAATATCTGGCTTACTACGAGCGGGGTCTGGGGCATGGCGCCGCTTGCTTGTGTTTTGCGGAATACGCCTGTCGAGCATGTGCTGTACAGCGTCGACTACCCTTTTGAGAAGAGCGAAAACGGGGTCAAGTGGATGGAAGAGTTGAAAGGGAGTGGGCTGGTAGGGGAGCAGGAGTTGGCCATGATTGCGCATGGAAACGCTGAGAGGCTGTTCAGGGTCAGGATCAAAGATGGGCAGCTCGGATGAGGCTTCCGCAGTTGAAGCTCTTGCTTCCCGCAAAAATGCTGCCCCGGGGAATCGCGCTTGCCAGAGCTCAGCCATACTACTCACTTCTTTCCTTTTCAATGGCAGCTCTTCCCTGAGACGTTCAAGAAGGAAAAACAAACATCAGGATAAAAAGAGCGCCTCTCCCCAACTTCTCGTCCTTCAACTCCAACATCTCCGCTACCATTAGCTTTCTGCGCAAATAAACGAGAACGACTGCTACTCTTCTCGCCGCATGCATAATATCGAGAACCGGCGCGACAAATATTTCTTGAAAGTCATTTAATCTTAAACGCTTGAAAACCTGGAACCCCATTCGAGCCCGGACTTTTGTGATCTCGATCAGGCAAGATGTTCACAGGCAATGAACCGGGCAACGAACCGGGCAACGAGAAGCTCACTGCTGATGAGATGATCCAAGACTGCAACCTTAAAGCTCAGACTAAGATCCAGGCTCTAACGGACAAGATCACGTCTTACACCGACATCTTGAAAATATTCAATGGGGAAATGCTCGCAGACCTCTCTGATACCGCAAATTTCATTGTTACCGAGAGTACGTTTCGGTTGTGTCACACGCGGTTTTACAAAGAAATCCGAAAGGCAGTGCTCCAGCAATTACCAGGACAAGTTGTGCAAGAGTCGGTCCTCTGGGCGATAGCAATACGCGCCGTTGCCGTGCCTAATGGTGGGCAAATAACAGACCTGTGGAGGGCTCACGACGAACTCAGAGACACTGTGCTGGCGATGACTGAAGTCGTCGAAGCGTTTCGGAATGATCGAGGGATCTTTGACATCATTGAACTGGTACAAAGAGCATACAAATTTCGCCTCCCGAACGTGACATATACCGGAGTATGGGCGATCAACATGGAAGGTAAACCGTCGAGCACAGCCCCTGGGCCGGGATCACGACCTCAAGAATTTACCGAAGAACAGATGCAAGCTATGGAGGAACGGGTGGCCCAAGCATCGGCAATATTGCCGGTGGAGATTCGTTTGGATGCAACGGTGAAGTTTCTTGGGCGTTTGGCGATGGAGAAGCTGGGTGGGGACATCACTGTGGACATCGACTCCTACATGCAACGCACGAAGGCCAAGTACGACCAATTGAGGGCAGACAAGGAGGCCCAGATAGCAGCCAACAGAGTATTGGGACATTCTTCCGCGACCATTTCGACAGCTGAATCCACAGTCATGACCAGCTGGGATAGCTTCAACGGCGCCCAAATCAGAACCGATTCGGATGGCTACTACGCCAATCTCGATCCCCGACTTCAAATTGATTGGCAGTATCGAACCACGGAACACCATTGACCGTGGGTACACTTGAGGAGGGAACAAACGCCTTGATAACTAAGTAGACTTGGACAATATAACTTCGCGTTACACTCACATCTTAACCTCATACCGAGACAGCTCTCTTCCCCCCTTTGCCCTGGAGAACCAGAAGTAGCTTCGCCTCACAGGCAGCCTGAGAATGTGCCATGGTGAACATACGACAACAAAGTAGCAGGGATGGATGTAAATTAATGATGCCGAAGGCTAGCCATGGGGAAATTTGGTGTTGCGAGAACCTGCGACTACGGGGCACCCTCGCCTGCCCAATCACCGTCCCAACAGTAGAGTTGAGATATCCGACGAAGCCTCCAAGACGCGGATTTCTCCCGGAAAAGTCTCAAGCCGGAGGGGCGCATGGCGACGCAGGGACAAAGACTGGTTGACGGCTCAGGGTCCTCAGTATCGGCTTATCATCTGAACTATGGTACTCCTAGACTGGAAGTTCGTATGGTGTTTGAAGAGGGTTTTGGGCCACTTTGGAGACATGATTCTTATGTTTCATCACTGTCTTTCACGTCGGCTCGGAAAGGGATGGTCGGCCATAAATGAAGCGAAAGCGAAGTCCTTGAAGACGCCTACCATTATTCTCAGGACACGACACCATGGCACGTGTTGGTGTCGTCTTCCGAGGCATAGCTTTAACGCTGGCCCAAGCCTCAAGGCCAAGAACACCTGTCCTAAGGATCTACCGCGCAGAGTTCATGCCAAGATGAGGCGCACTCTGTTGCCTCCGGTCAAGATGCCGCTCAGCTCCTCTACCACGCGAACGCGATCACGATGTCATTTCTCCAGAAAATGAGAGACCTAGCCAGCACCGCCTCCAAGCGCTTGGCAACCTTCGCATAGAAAACACAAATCCAGCATTTCATCATCCATCGCATCTATACTTCAGAAATCACATCATGCCTTCCCCACAGACACGACGGCGTGGTCGCACAGACGACGTCCATCCCACCACACCAGATGGCACCGCACGTCAACCACAACCCACGGGCCTTCCTCCGCCCAACGCCGGGAACCCAATATCAACAGCTCATCCCAGACACGCCGAGAATCCCCTGTATCCGGCGGGCAGCAGGAGAAGCTTCGTCCAATGCAGTGCCGTTCAGCAGCACTCCGCGCGTCCATCATTCGGAGGCCAATCTCGCCTTCCGGGGGGCCATCGGCCGCTGGCGTGGGCTTCCATAGGCAATCGAGCCACGCACAAACGTATGGCGAGGAAAGGCAAAGGGAACGGCGGGCCGAAACCTATTCTGCGAGATACCAGATCTTGCCAACCACGAACGGATGCGCTGCGGTGGGGTTGCTGGTTCCTCGTGCCCTCCTCCCCGTATTTTGCTGAGCTGGCCAACCTACGGATGCATTGGCGCATTGTTCATGGCGAAAGGGTAAAAGGAAGCCCAACCAGCCAAATGCGTGCGACCGCCACCCAAGAGTGGGTGTCTGCCGTGTCCTTCAACCCAGACAAAATGCAATCGTGAATCGACAATCCAAGTACGCCCCGCAACAACGAATAGACGTCGGCAATGATATCGCGCGCATTCTGCGAGAAAGAAATGGCCCACCAATCGGCGCCGGGATGCAGACTTGTCCTGCCGGATCGGGCAACTCCCGGACGGCATTCCGCTGCAGCTGGGGCCATGTGAGTCGTTTGGCGCAGTAGATCCGCAATGGAAGGGCAGGTTGGTGGGGGTGGAGGGGAGGCGACGGAGCGGATGTGTGTGGCGTGCCGCACCCCGCATCCAAGAACGGTTCTGCGACTGGTCGAGCTGTTGGCTGTCAGAGTTGGAGATGGCGGGGTTCCCATTTCTTTTCTTCCGCCGAAGAACAGTACGGGGAAAGGAAGTAAAGATTTTTTTGACAGGTGAGGCGCGTTTCATTATTGCCTCCACGGCTTTATCAAAAAGCTCGATGGAAGTGAGGCGAGGCGGACGGGTTGATCGTTTCCTTCCCAGGCGTTTCAGCTCGTTGTCTCGTTTGCTCCTCAAGCTGAGAGCGACAGACGGACGGCAGGGCTTCAAGAACGTGAAGCTCGAGCGGTGCCAAAAGATGGGCTGAATGCCACAAGTTCAGTCCATCCTCCCTCGTCCGTGCAAGTTGAGTAGTCGACGCTCGCCGCGCCGACGGTCCCGTCCCATCAGTGACGAAACCATCGCCCGTCCAATCGCGATCGCGGGGGTTTAGCCTGCAGCGAGCAGGTGGTACCGCTCTTGCCTGGCAAGGAGCTTGTGCGCCCGTTGCTTGGAGCGGACTGGATTGAGTTCGGCAGGCGGTAGACGTGGCCGTGGGAGCGAGATCTGATGGGATGGAAGGGTAGGGGTCTCTCGGGTGCCGGGATGTCGTGGTGTGGGTCGCTTGCATGATTGGAGTTGCCTTTTTGGGGGGATGGGATTTCGTATGTAAACCGATGATCTGCTCTTCCGGATTTGGGGCTTGTGCAGGCTTCATGTTGTATGACCATTGACACATTCTCCATGGGTTCGAGGACGTGAGTTCTCTTCAGGTGGCGCGACAGAACAGACGAACAAGACGCCCGATCTCCCCGATCTCTGCGATCGCAGAGCCAACACGGCAAGATGGCTTCCGCCGAGGGCATTGGCATGAACCTCACGTACCCGAAATCGCCAGACCCGAGAGTCCCAGCGTCGGTGCTGAAGGAAATCGTAAGTCTCTCGTCTTGTTCTGTTTGTGCGTATCTGACCTCTAAAAGGACGATGCCAATATCCCGGTTTTCATGACTGGGATCCTCCTCCCGCATGTCGTATGCACTCTCTTCATCTTTGCTCGCATTGCCTCGCGGCTATGGGTGATTCGCAAGTGGTTTCTGGACGACACGCTCATCTTCCTCTCGTGGCTCTTTTCAACGGCCCTTTGCATCGTCTATGGCATCACCGCCACGACGCCCTCGCTGTTGGCGGCCCCATCAGAGGCGTCCCTGCTGGAAGATGTCAACCCGTATATCATGCGCACATATCTCGGGTTGATTTACTACCAACTCTGCCTCTGTCTGACGAAATTCTCCATCCTGGCATTCTATCTCCGGGTCTTTGTCTCCCGCCCGCGAGAGCGGCTGTTTGCATGGGGAACAGTTGTGTTTGTGCTCATGTACAGCGTACCGATGCTGCTGATGAGCTTCCTCCAATGTCATCCGGTGATGGGACAGTTCTTTGGGCGGCCGATGATGTGCTTCGGCTTTCCAGAGCTGTTGATCTCGAGCGCAAGTCTTCATTCCGCTACTGACGCGTGGTTGATCGCCATGGTCATCCCCTGCGTTGCCAAACTCGACCTTCCTCGGAGGGACAAGATTGCGCTCTCGGTGGTGCTGAGTTTGAGCATCTTCGTCATTGCAGCGAGCATGGTCCGCCTTCAGCTCAGCCTGCATAGGCACTACCTGCCGAATAGCACCGGTGTGACCAACACGCTCACGTTCTTCGTTATGACGATCCTGGAGTGCGACCTGGCGCTCATTTGCGCCAGCGCTCCGACACTGCGTCCGCTGCTGGCCAAGATTTTCCCTGGCCTGATGAGTGCGGCGAAGAGAAGGTCGCTTGAGGCCACGGAGAACGAGAGCTTTGACTTGACGAGCTTAACCTAGCACGGCTATCCATGGACGGAGCCCAGCACGCCTTTTGCGCGGAGCCGGAACGCGAGTTATGCCAGTCACTTGAACAAGCTGCGGATGCCGGCACCGCCTGTGCCTGTGTTGTCGATATCGCACATGGCGCCGACAACGCTCAGTCTGAGGACTGCGGTGTTGGGGGTGGTGCCGAGGAGTCGAGGCCGGCCTCTCACTGGAGACGGTAGGCCTATGTTGGAGGCGACATGGGAGGCAAAGAGAAGCTCTTCGGTATACTCGCAGGATGATCGGTTTGAGGTGCCTGACACTCCTAGGTCTGGCAGGGGCGATGGAGTCGTATTGAAGGAGATGAGGTTGAGTCTCGGGTCCGGTGTTGGAGGAGGAGTCGGATTCATGACAGAGAAGGCGCCATTGAGCCCGAATCGCATGAGCCCGATGTCCGATCTGAGTGGCGACACATACACTGTTGACAGAAACAGTGGGAGCACCAAGGGCGAAAAGTATGACGGAAAATTGACGACAGAGATACCCCGGGAGAAGGACAAGAAGGTCCCTCCTCGTAGGCCGAGACGGCCAGACGACCCAGCGTAATGATCAACGTAATGACAAGACACTTTCGTTAAGAAACCTTCAAACGTGTTGTGTGGTGATGTAGTCGTGATTCGGCCGAACAGCGCCCGTGGCTAAGGTTTCGTCGGTGGTTGGCGAGGTGGAGGGATGGCAGAGATGAATCTCGGCCGACATGTAAAAAAGAATCTTACGTAATACATGAGCAGGGATGGGGTACCCGGGATGGATCCCGATAAGACGGTCTGTGCATCATTTCTTCCTTCCTTCCGCCTCCTGAATGTCTCTCGTCGCGGCAAGAGATCACCAAAGCGTAACCAACTTCCGTGGTTGTCGTCCTTCTCGTCCTCGCCCTCCTAGTTCCTGGCCGTCTTCATCATCGTCGTTGTCGTCTTCCTCGTCTTTCTTGTCTTCCTCGCCCGTCTTCGTGCTTCCCGGCTGTGGTGATGAGGTGCGGCCGATCTAAGGCGGGGGCTCATTCGTCCCGTGCCGTGCCGCGCCGTGCCGGGCTCCTAATGCTGGGGCGATTTGGCCAAGGTTCGATGGGTCCGTAACAAGTTCCGTAACTGATGCGCCTTCTTAGATCGGCAGATATATCAATGCAACTTCACTCTGTTATACTTGTTTGTTGAGATGGACACCTTGCAATCGGGATGCCTGTCGCCGGCCCCATGCCGTCCCGGGATGACGAGGAGGCTCTCCCGTGCACCTCAGACGGTTGACTTGAGACTTAATTCTCCGATACAGACCCCATGCAAGCCATGCCGGATCTTGTCTTGACCTGAAGCTATTGACGGCTGGACGAGATGCATTGCCTCAATCAGCTGCGGGAGACCGGCAAAACTCTGCTTCCTTCCTCAAACCACCACTTTTCGTGTTGCACCAAGTGGTGGCGACTCGATTCGACGCATCGTGTATCTCAATGCGTCTTCCCTTTCCGACACGCCCTTCAGCTGCTCGATTCTTTCACTCAGTCCTCCCGTCCAAGGAAGCTTGCTTCCACCGTTTGCCTCATCGTCACTCTTTTCTTTCCTGCCTTTTGCAAGGGCAAACGGCGTACTTTCTTTTCTAATCTATTTCACCTTCCTTTCGAACTTTCACAAAACCAAAAATGGGAAGGATCTAGCAACTTGCGACAAGATCAATCACCATGCTGCAAATTCGGATCTTGCTTGCCTGTTGCTTGACTTTTGCCGCAGCCGTCGCTTCTCAGGTTCGCGATGGCGCTCCTGCTCTCGGAACATCAACTTCTTCGCTCCTGATTGATGCGGAGATATCGCGGGCGTCGCGAGTGGCGAGTATCGAGATCGCGCATCATCTTCAGACTGGCGAGAAAGTGGCAGCAAAGAGCTTGGAGTCGGGCGGATCGCGTTCCCGGCACGATGGCAAAGAAATGATGCATATCTGGGCCAGGCAGAATTCGACGTAAGAAGCCCCTCCCCTATCGCGGCCAAATTCGAGTCGCTAACCATTTTTCGCAGACCCTCGAGCCAGCCGCCGCTGTCGCTTTCTACCGTCACACTCACGAGAACATCCTTCATCGAGGTACCAAGCGAGACGCAGGTCGTCGTCTCCACGCTTGCCGAGACTGTTACCGTTGTCGACCCTATCTTCGTCACCGAGACCAGCACCGTCGCGATCGCGCAAGCCCCGAGCAACTTGGCTAAACGAGATTTTGCTTCACCAGCAGCCAGGTACCATGACGATTCGATCTCGTCGGCAAACGCCGGTCTTCCTCGTGACAAGGCTCCGCGACCGGATTCGACATCACTCTCCTCTCTCCGAGACTCGACCGCTCCACCAACCCCGACGACACTTGTGACCGCACGCCGCGGCGTTCGACGCCAGGTCTTAGATGCGCCGGTTACTGTCATTGGAATGATCTCGATCGTCACCATCGAAACGACGGTAACCCTGACTAGGACGGGCAGCTTCGTCTCGACGGCAACGGTCGTGAACCCCATCATAGTATCTGTGACGGCAACTCCAACTTCAACCACTACCTTGTTCGTCACAGCAGGGTCTTTCACTCCAACCTCAATCGCAAGCACCCAAGAGGTGTCTACGATTACCCCAGAGCCGACCACCTCGACAACAGCTTCCGTTCGCACGACTATCTCCATGCCAGTCCAAACTTCGCTCGCCTCAATCTCACACGAGACGAGGACCTCTGTTTTCACGATCAGCAGCAGTATTTTGAGCTTGGCTAGCCCAACCAGTGCCATCACGACTTGGTTCACTGACGATGCCGACGGATTCACGTGGCCAACCGTAGCCCCGACCTCGACCTCGACTTCGTCGCGAATCTCTACTAGCATCACGGCATCGTCGACTGTTGCTCCAGGCTCCGGATCCTCGCTCAGGCTCGCACTGGATGATGGCCAGATCGCAGGGATAGTTGTAGGTGGTGTCTTCGGCATCGTCATCGTCGCGCTAGCCATCTGGCTCCTTCGCAAGCGCTCCAAGCGTCGCCAGCACGTCAACATCCCCGAAGACGACTATCAAATGACTTCAGCCGCCGCAGCAGCCGCTATCATCGACTCATCCCCACCCGCAATGAACCAACGCGACCCAAGCGGGCCCCTGCCCAGCAACACGAGTGGTGAAAGCTCCCGCGAGGGCAACGTTCGCATTGTTATCCAGCCCACTGAGAAGCGCCGGACTCAGAGCAGCGGTCTCTTCCCTATCCCAAAGATTTGGCCGCAGCCGCCCGGATACAACGGTAGGACTTACAGCTTCTCGGCGGGAGAGAGTGCAGAGTCTTCTCCTCGCGATCCGATGACTTGGAGCAATGCGAGCGAGTACGGAGGTTCGAGCAACCGAGAGGGTCTGCCTGGTAGTGGCACTCGAGTAAATATCGCGATGCGCAATGCTCAGAGAAATGAGGGTACTGGTAGTGCAAGTGGTAGCAGATTTTGATGGAGAACAGGCTTTGGCAACTTGAATGGATCGCAAAAGACACGGGCAGATGATATTTAGATACCCCCTAATAATGAGGCCCGTTTGGGCAATCACTGTCATGATTCACTATTATGATGGACTCCTGTTTCGCGTCTTGTCCGTCTGCTTCAGACCTCATCGTCTCTAATTCAGACGTCATATGAAATTCTTCCCAACATCACATCCAAGCAGAAGAGACGTTGTGTTACTCACCGTTATTCCGCGTCACCCCCTTAGATAAAACAGAGTGATATGGAGGAGCCTCGGCCTGCGCAAAACCCCAATCAAGAGGATCAGCACCGTTCGATGCAGCCAATCGTCAAGAAATTTCGGTATTTGTGTTGAGTAGTTTTCGCTGCATTCTTAACGACATCCAAGGCATTGGAGGACATTCACGGTAAACATCTTATAGTTCAAGCAATGCGAACCTATCACCTCATATTAATGGAGTCGTGAAATACTGTTTTGCCAGCTGGTATTGACCTATCACGTGTACCCAACCGCAACTTACGGTTTGTTACGGCATGGAGGTAGCCAACTAGACGCAGCTTCGCTGCAACACCCTCTCCTCTATCCCCTTAGAAAGGCACCCGAAAGATTAAGTGTTCTGAGGAGAACAGAAGGCAGTTCGTCAAACAGACGAGTGCCAACGACCGACGCTACCCATCCGGTCCTGCAGAGACATGTTAGCGAAGCAACCAGCTCGACAAGCTATTGAGATATAACAACGCAACTCAGGCATAGTAAATTTATCCACGCTGGGCAATCGGCGCACCTGCTCAATCGACTTAACTGTTGTGTCTGTTTTTTGGACAGCTTTTGATCGCCTGATTTCATAGGCAGCGGGCAAATGAGTTTCGTCTACGTTAACCCACAGTCAACGAAACCTATCAAGATAATGATCCAGTGAAAGTCTTCCTAGTCCGACAGCTTGATAATGCGTTACTTCTCCCTCAGGATTACGGCCGTTCTTCGCAAAGATCTCAGTGGCCAATGGTTGGGATGTTCGGCTGGGATCCAGCGATGTCTTGCCGATAATTATTGGTCCAAGTTCAATGTCATGTCAGACCATGGAGTTTCCAAGCTTACCTAACACGCACACCATTGTCGGCGCCCGTATTTCCGTCCGTGACTTCACGCCACGTTCACTGCAATCTTAGCTTCCCTCAAGATATTGAAGTACACTGTAGGCAGGCACTCTAAGGTATGTTTATAAACCTGGTTCTTCTCCATTCTATGGATACATGGTCCTTTCGTCTCAACGCACAGCTAACACATCTATCAGGTGGACGCCATGGCACCATGATAAAAAACCCTTGATTGACAAATAACCACGCAGAAGCTTTGCATCTAGTTCGTGTATATCTGGATTCCCCGTGCACTGCAATTATTTACACCATTGCGATTACGAAGAGTCACCTTAAATCTTACACGAAAGGCACAGGCGAGGGGTTCCGAAACGATTCTCTTTACGGAGTCACTACATTATTGACCTGTCAGCCGTGATGTCAGTAGCTATGACGTCTTTATCCAGCGTCTTAAGTACGTGGCCAACACAAGCTTTTGCGTGGCTGACCTTATGAGACCATCTCTACGCAGTGAGTCACGCAGGCGAGGCTGTCGACCTTACTAGCAACAAAACCATCGTCAACACGATACTAAGAGCCACAATAGGCGGCTACAGTCAGGTTCAGCGTAGGCAGTTATTCCGGGCCCCTAGGTACATACTACGATCTTCTTACTAGACGAAGCACTAGCTAAAGTGCTCTTGCTGGATTTATCTACTATAGACCCTCTTAGGGTGGGCTATAAAACTTCCCCAGCATGACGTCTTTGTCTCCCTTTTCAGATGGCCTAATACAAGCCCCGAGGCTCGCTTGAATGAGCATGACCCTGATTAGCTCTGAAATGCAGTCCCTGTTCTGCGATCCAGGGAAAAAAAATCATTTACAGCAGGCGTTTTCCTCAAATCAGAACTGTTTTGTACATTTTGTCTATTCATTATGGGGCTTAGCCGTCTGTCGCAACTCGAGTCGTTTTTGCCAATGGATGCATCTCTCTCTTCGTCCCATTCTCCACTAATCGCCACCACCACCTTTTTTCATTCACTGCAACAATTTCACAAGTTTGAATCCGACCATCGAAAATTAGTTGCCGTCGTTACGGCGAGGAATGTACGACTTGATGTCGGAAACGCAGACATTTGACGCGTTGGTGGCGAGCTGCTGGCAATCCTTGTCGGTGTAGAGCTCAACTGTAGCGAACGCGAGTCAGTCAACCGCACGGGCATTTCGGCAACGGAGAGAAAAGGGTTTACTCACAGTTGAAGATGGGCGTCAAGCCGCTGGCGGAGAATCTCTTGTAGGTGGTGTTGGCAACGCCCATGGGGATGAGTTGGCACTGGTTGATGTAGTCGGGGGGGATGGCAAGAGACTGGCCACCCTCAGTCTGGAGGGGCACGCCATTGCAGTCGGCGTTGGCATCGTAGAACATCTTGATGTTGCCCATGATGGGGGTCGCGCTGGCGGTGGCGGCCAGGGCCAAAAGGACGGATGTGAGCTGCATTTTGGGAGTTGTGATGGTATTACTGGAGTCGAGGAGTTGTCGGTGAAGTTGAACTCGCTCGCGGATGGGGAATCACCCTTTTTTATTATTGTCGAGTATGAGGTCACTGCTCCTGGATGCTGGTTGCCAATGTGGGACTAAAGCCAAATACGAGGGGCAGTGGGGAACATTTGGCAAGTCTGCCCCCAGCTTAATGATCTATATATGGATTTTGACTCTTGGAAACAAGGATCAGCAACGTATGATTGGTAGGTTCATCTATTTTGGCTCCGCAATCCGGGCTGGTTTCCGCGGAGCCAGAGAGATTATCGGTATGCATTGAGCCAAAGCTTCGGGCGGGCCAGTTGTAGGAGTCAGTTACGAGCCTCAATCAAGAGGCGGTCTACGGATACGAGTCCGAAGTAGTCGCACGTTTCTCCAGCCACCACAACTAACATTTGCGAACACAGTCAACTCACTGGCGAACGACATGACACGGTCAAGAGGCGAAAAAACCCGACTAACTCATAAGACAAACAACAGACCGGCAATTCTAGGCCAGTCTTGTCGCTTGCGAGGGCTTCCCTAGAATAAGGAAACTCAGCAGCTTCGAAACGAATTCGACTTTGTTTCAGTTTTGCCCGGATGTTGCGAGTAAGAATTTTTTTCACTGGCAAAAGGACGCAAGTTATCTTGTCAGAAAGATAGGGTTGAATGAGTAAAATGTCATTCATCTATCTTTGAGCTGCATCTTCCAACCTTGGGGTGTTCTACATCTCTACCCAACCTCCTCCGGTAAGTGTTTTACGCTACTAGCTTCTTCAAGCTTCTCTTCTGTAAGTGCTGTGGCACGCTTTGAAGCTGTGTCTTATTTCAGCTCATTTGCCGACAAAAGGTCGTGAACCAATTGAAACCGCGAGTGTGTCATCAAAAAGTGAAGATAGCCGCCAAGGCTTACTTTTGCGTAACAAAGGCTCAGCTTTTCAACCAAGGAGCATTTGAATCGAGTATATAGACTATAGAAGCTTTCTGATCGCGACAGTGGCAAGCTGCCTCTTGAGTTATGAAACTCTCCAAGACAGGAAGATGGCTTGTTTGGAGGAGCTTAGCTACCCACCACGTCTTCGAATGCCACATGATCACCAACAGAGACTCCCTTGGTGGCTCAGTCAAAGTATACTAAAGAAGTATTTTGTCTGGACGGAGTAGAGGTTCCTTTGCATGTAAAAGCGCCTCTCATCTGCTTAAATTTGTCGAGCTTGAACATACACAACACAGCAGAATCCTTTTGATACTTACAACACAAGAAAGATATCACATATATCATGATGACGTCCGCAATCTTGCTGTAGAGCCTCGCATCTTTGAGCGTGGCTACGGCCATTCCTACCGAATCGATCCGGAAGGAGATGAGCCCTTTGGAGCGTTTTCTTGGAGCCAACGGAGAGCCGGTAACGTTTTAATCCCCAACAAAAAGTACTCTTGAGTATCGAAACTGACCAGACTCAGAAATTCGAACAGTGTCTGGCAAAGAGCACCAGTTGCTCTTGGAACAGCGAGTGTTGCACTTGCTACTGTGACTGGTTGCTGCCTTTCATCGGGAAGTGCAGGCAGACTGTCGGGCCGCCGGCCTGCGGCGAAGCATGGGCTAAGGACCTCAGCCACCTTGGAGAATTGCGCAAGGATTTGCTGCACAAGAACGTTGGACTGTAGGGGCAAGATGGACCAGACGGGCTCCATGGGCTGACATTTTCTCAAGTTTCTAACCACAGTCTCGACCGAAAAACATACGCACTAAACTTTGGAGCTATGTTTTGCGTCCATTTCCAAGTGCTCCAGTGAGACGTCGCCTTTGACTTCTGTGCCAGCCATCATGTTCGCTGCCTGATGGTCTTCAATCTCAACCACACGATCACCGAATGCGGCTGCAATTTCTTCCAACGTTTTCTGCTTGGTTTCCGGGTAGTATAGATAGATGATAACGAAGAACACGCTGCAGCAACCGACGAAAACGTAGTAGAAATACTCATGGATTGTGGCGAATGCACTGGGGCCTGCTTGGGTAACCCCGACGTTGACAATGTAGTGAGCCGCAGCCGCGACACCCATGATTTTGCTCCGAATAGATATGGGAAGGACTTCGGCACCATAGATCCATGTCACGGGATTGATGAGACTGTCTGTGATGTTTATGTTAGTAACAGCAGGAAATGATGGGTGCGTCAACTTACAGTATCCCACGGCAAAAAGATAGACACCCAAAATGGCGAAACCTTTGCCGACGCGATTGTCTGTATTCTGGAATGCGCGTTGCATGATCGCACAGTAGATCTCAACAACGATGACCCAAGCGACGCCAGCAAGAAGCATCCTGATGTGCGAAATAGGATGTCAGCTTCCAAGTCTGTGTAATTGAAGAAGTGTAATGAGGACGTAATGAAGGCTCGATGTACGTACTTGCGGCGACCCCATCTATCCGGCAGGATGAGAACAGATACTGTTGTGGCGAGAAATGCGCAGGTACCCCAAACGGCGGCGAGGGCGAGTATCGTCTTCGAGTCGATGTCGAGAGAGCGATACAGAGACGCTTAGCATATTAGCAACATGCTGAAAATTACACGGCTTTGAAGCACTAACTTTGATAATACTGTTTGGTTTGTTGTCAGTGTCTGCATGAAGACGATAGGAGACTAGGCTAGCTTTTACGTACCTGGACAACGTTGACTCCCGTGACGCTTGTCAATATCTGGACTGAGACCGAGCTGGACGAAAGTTTCAAGATCAGCGTTCTTTGTGTAAGTAAAGTTATTCGCCCATTCAACTTACACCAAAACACGACGTCGATACGTCTTCCATATTTCTTTGAATGTTGGGATTTCCCTCTGCAATTCGAACTCGATCTGGGCTTTCATGAGTCCAAATTCTTCTTGCACAACATGCGATTGGAGGTCGCTCCGGATTCTTGTGAACTCATGTCGAGCTTCCTCGACACGACCTCTTTGGATCAGCTGACGCGGAGAGTTTGGCATGAACGTGATGAGACCTGTGAAGAGAACAATGCCCCAAGGAATCTGCAGACCAAGTGGTACCCGCCACTGGGCCTGGCCATACGGGGCAAAACCACCGGCAAACCCGACCCAATTTGAAGTCATGGTACCGAAAGCAAGCCCAACGCCATTGAGACCTCCAATGAGACCACGAATCTTAGGTGGGCTGATCTCAGAAAGGAATACAGGAACAGTGCCACTGAGGGCCCCAACAGCGATGCCTGCTGTTATGCGACCCCCAAGGAACATCCCGACGTTGACTGCACCAGTCTGAATGGCGCATCCAAGACTGACAATGATGCATTGCAGTTGCATGAAGCGCAGACGGCCCAGTTTATCGGCGATGAGGATCTGCATGATAGCACCAACCGCTTCACCTGCGATGTAAGTCGCCACCACCTGTACAGTTAGAAAGGTTGACGGGTAGGCATCGAGTGATCTTACAGATCCTATTATGGCGTTCGAAGGGTTATTCATGTACTCGACGAAGCCCAAGTGAGCGATAGCTATCAACCTGTCAGTCCAATTACTACTCTCGATTCTCAGTCGGTGTGATTGGTTTTGGAGGGGAGATCTTACTGGTCGTCGCGATGCCGGTGTCAAATCCCTGAAGCCCAAGTATAACTCATCAGTCGTTTGCTTTCCAACCGCGTGGTTACGTGATGAACGCGTTCTGCGACGGAAGCTGGGAACTCACATAGAGAAAAGTGCCCAGGCAGGCGAACATCGCGACGAGGATTGTGTAGTGGTCCTTCATGGTGATAGCGATTGTCGATCAGACCTGACCTCGACACTAAAAGAGAGTCTGCTGCAAAGCAGTAGATGACACGAGAACATAACGCCCGGAAAAGCTGCATTAACATGCAGGCCGTCTTAGTTGTATAGTGGGGCGGCTTTTCCACCGGCGCGTCATTTGGCGGGACATCATCAAGCCGGATAACATCCATGGTGCTTAGAGATTCCCCACATTTGGAGGCGTGTAATTGCACCGGATCGTCAGTGACCGGAGCAATGATCCCTCGCATATTGAGTGAGTCCAGCGACACGTCCAATGTCATCCTACAAGAATGAAGGCTAGGATTAACTTGCATGCGCCATATGTCGATGAGCTTTGAGACCTGGTGCCTTCAACCATTCTTCTGTGTTGCCCCACTTCGTTGCTTCGTCTCTGAAATCATCATACCGCAGCCATGGCAATCAATGGAGTCAACAGCAATGGTATCGATGGCAAGACCAATGGGTTTGCCCACAAGCTGAAAACCAACCGCGCCAAGGCCATCGTCGATGCGGCATCAGCGGGTGGCTATGCTATTGCGGCCGTATGCTGATACAACCTCGAGGCTGTCGTCGCGAATGTTCGCGCGGCAGAAGCAAAGCGCTCCCCAGCCCTCATTCAGCTCTTCCCTTGGTCTATTGAGTACGCAGACGGTCTTCTTCTGCATGCAGCCGCCGAAGCGGCTGACAAGGCTTCCGTCCCCATCGGCGTCCACATGGATCATGCCCAGTCCCCGGATATCATCAGACGGGCCGCTGATGTAGGCGGATTTGACGGCATTATGGTCGACATGAGCCATTACGAAAAGGAAGAAAACTTACGCCTCACCAAGGAACTGGTCCAGTACTGTAATGAACGCGGCATAATCACCGAAGCCGAACCTGGCCGTATTAATGGTTCTGAAGACGGCATCGCTGACACGGGCGATATAGAGGAGATTCTCACGGGTCCTGAACAGGCGGAGGAGTTCGTTGCTTGCGGTATTGACTGGCTAGCACCTGCATTTGGCAATGTTCATGGGGTTTACGGGCCCAAGGGACCGCAGCTGGATTTCCCTCGTCTCGATACTGTCCGGCAAGCTGTGGGCGACCGTGTGCGCCTCGTGCTCCACGGCGCCCACGAGAAGTATTTTCAAGAGGAGCTGTTGCGTAAATGCATCTCGTACGGCATGGCAAAGGTCAACGTGAATGGTCCCGTGGCTGCAGCATGGACCAAGGTGCAGGGCGAGCTCACTGGCAAAGTCCCCTTGACGACGGTCATCGAGGAGCAGACGAAGGCAATGCAGGATGTGGTGGAATACCACATGGACTTCTTAATGTCTACGGGTAAAGCATAAGACTTAAATAGAAGGCTTTAAGTAGACTCAAAGCACTCAGTTGTCGTAAAACCTATGAAACACCATTTTCACGATGACCCTCGCACATAACACCCTCATTGTCTTCCATCCCAAACCGTATTGCTGAAATGGAGTATGACTCCTAGAAGGTGTGGCACAAAGGTCGCAAGATGCTCGTCAACCATATTCCCATATTCTCGGAAAAGTTGCCTGTTTGCGGGGTTTGATTGTACCAACACTTGACGGCGCAATAACGAGCCGGCGGGTCTCCGCTTAGCCCGCCGAACAAAGACAAGGATACTCCAGCTAACCCCGCGCGGTACAAGTGCTTCTATCGGTCAACAAGGCATAGAAAGGTATAGTCCGCCTCAAGTCTCGCCGGCCCATTACCCGACTTGACTGCTGTGTACCACTCCCTCAGGCCTTACTTTCGTTTTCAGGTCGAGTCACTTGGGATCCATGGGTATGAACATGGCTGCGCATGCAAAGGTACTGCTTCTTGGCAAAATTGACCAGTAAGTGACCGAGCATTTCCAAGTCAAATCACTTTGGCCGCCAACCTGAAACGGAACTGATCATTTCAGCGCAACTGCATCCTGGGATTCACTCTCGGAGCATGCACAACTTGTGAAGCCTCAATCAACTAGCAGGAAAGAGTTTCTCATTGAGCTTCGAAGTGGAAACCTGGATGGAGTTGTTGCCATATGTGATCGTGCACCTTACAATCTGGCAGTCACCGGAAGGTTCGACGAGGAGCTAGTGCAGGCACTCCCCAAAAGCGTTAAATACATCTGCCACAATGGCAAGTACGATAATCCAACAACCACTGCGCAGTAATTCTGACTCGATCCTAATCCTCAGGGGCTGGGTATGATAATATTGACGTGATAGCTTGCACCGCAAGAAATATTCTCGTCTCAAACTGCCCCGAGGTTGTGGACGATGCTACGGCCGACACCGCTGTATTTCTGATCCTGGCTGCTCTAAGAGGCCTCAACAACGGCATTATGTCCATACGTAATAGGACTTGGACGGGCCACGTACCTCCAGGGCCTCTTGGCCATGATCCCGAAGGCAAAACTCTTGGTATTCTGGGTCTCGGCGGCATTGGCATCAATCTGAAGAAAAAGATGGAAATGTTTGGGATGAAGGTTATCTATCATAACAGATCAGCTTCTGTTTTGTGTAACGGTGCCGAGTACGTCACTTTTGACGAGCTGCTTGCAAAGAGCGACGTATTGAGTCTAAATCTACCACTGAATGTGAGTTCAATCACAGCCGCTATTGTTCTCTGCGTAAGTATGAGCAACTCTGACAATCACAGGCCAATACCCGAAACATTATCTCAACCGGAGAATTTGAAAAGATGAAGGATGGCATCGTCATTGTCAATACGGCACGAGGCGGCGTTCTGGATGAAGAGGCCCTGGTTAAAGCCTTGGATTCTGGCAAAGTTCTCTCCGCAGGGCTCGATGTCTACCAAAGCGAGCCTGACATCCACCCCGGTCTCCTGTCAAACCCACATGTTTGCATGCTACCGCATATGGGAACATCGACTGTCGAGGTAAGGCGTTCTGAATGAGTATTGCATAACATGCCAGAGCAATTCAAACTGACTTTCGGTCGCAGACCAAGACAAAGATGGAGGAGTGCACTATTTCAAATGTGCGGTCGGGTATTCTGACGGGAAGGCTGGTTACGCTGGTTCCGGAGCAGGCAAAGCTTAATGGTGTTTCTTCTTGATAATTGAACGTACCTAACATTTTACTTTCCTCACTTCAGAGTGTAGACTCAACATTTCAAGGACGCCGTGAAAGACTCAAATACTGGACCCAACAAACATCCCACATCGGCACAAGAGAACATTTCTCGCCTCGGCCATATTTCACAACCAGTCTGCATCAAACTCTCTGCTAACTCCTCTCAGCCCAACCTGAGGCCCAGAAAAGTTGAGCAAGTCCGAAAATCCGACATCGAGAAAGTCGTCAGATCCAGCGAACAAAGCCATAGCCTGACAGTCAAGCAGAGCCCCTAGCCTATTCTGAAGTCCATACGCCGTTCGACGGGTGTCATTGAACATTTCCAGACCGACTGGCCCAGAAGGACTATTCTTCGTATCAACAATCAACTGGACCACATCCGAGTAGCGTTGACTGCATGGCCAGTGTATAGCTGGTTGCCTCAAAGTATGCAGGAGAGCCTCCAAGTCGTCAGGCACAGCTCCGCGCGCGGTTTCGTAACCCATTGTCCAGTGCATGACCAGGCTTCGGGCGGCCACCCACACGACGAAGGGGAACGTGGGCCCCAGCTGTTGAATCTGGTAAGACTCAAGAGAGGCTGCGAGGTTAGAAACGCTGCCGACCGCCTGGCGACAGCGACTTCGGGCCGAGGTTGAGGGCTTCAGGTATGGTGAGACTGTCGAGGGGAACCCTGCAACCGTATACATGCGTATGTTGATTCTGCAGTTGAGTCAGTCCCTAGAGGAACCATGGAACTTGGCTGGATCAACACGCAGTAATACCACCTACAGATAAAAGGTAGCATGAACCAAAGTCCAGACTGGGTCAAAAGTTGTGGGGGGCTCGCGAACCTCCCATGGTAGATTTTCGAACCAAGTGAAGAGCGAAATATCGAATCGACGGAAGCTACTTTGCCACTCCTCGCAGCTAGCTGGTAGGGCGAGGTTCACTGGCTGAATCAGCAGCTGGTTTGACTGATCGACCATTGTCAAGACGTCGATATAATAATGCCAAAGATTGACAGGTTTCCGATGGTCAAGGTAAGGCCTTGCAGGAGACGGCCTTTGAAACCACTCAGGCACCACGTTCTGTCCCCATTCTCCGTCACGGACGGGGTATGGTAGCTTGATCAACCTGCTGTCGATAGAGCCTGGTTGACCAAGAGGCACACTTGAGAAGCGATCGAGGGCATAAATAGTCCAGAAAAGACGATGCTTCTGCTCTTCCGCGACATTCGAGTGAATGTCAATACTGCTGCCGCTGATGGACATACCATCACCGCCTTGGCCATTGTCTGGAGCATCATTGTCGACGAGGGAAGATGAGCGCGGGTCCAGACCTGTGTAATTGGTACTGGCAAGGCGAAGCTGGCGCGTCGATGTCACCAGCATAGCCATAATGTTCCATGTTCTTGGCCCAGGGCCCTGCCCGATAGCATCGATGGCGAGAAGGGCAAGGGCTTGCGTTGATGCGAGTGATGCAACATCAATTGATCGCAGAAGAATTTGTTTCCTCGATGTCTTGATCTGCGCCCCGCGAACTTCGGCTGGCGGTGTTGCTTTTCTCCAGAATCGGTATGCGACTACAACGATGCCGTGAAGGACAACTTGTTGTTCCGAGGAGAATGCTATAGAGAGAAAGCTTGGCCTATGGAGCAGTGGCGCCCAGGGATATACGTGCTCAAAGAAAAGATCAACAAGCTCGCGAATTATTGGTTCAGGTGGCAGTGATGAATCGGCGGTTGTGACTGTCGGCGTGTTTGTTACATCCCACGACTCAAGGGGAGGACGGGGATCAATCTTCTCTAGCAGCGGTGATGCGGCAAACACATTCAGATCTGTCGCCGTTGCAGTTGATGCAGTATTTGGTAAAGAAGCAGAGACCGGTTGCCAAAGTGGCTCTCCATCTGAAGGTCCCGTTTGTTGCTGCTCGCGGTCACTGGTTGTCGGCGTGGGATCGGGCGATGTACCCAATGCTGAGAGCTGAGCCTCCAGCGGCTGGGTCTGTATGGGATCTTTCTGGTAACTCTGAACGCAACTGAGGATCTCCTGTACCGTACGAGACATGCTTCGCATGTTATCCTCCAATAAGCTGAGACGTTGCTCGACTGCCTTGCCATAGCCTGGACGCAAACCGGGCTGGCCCTTCTCCTTGTACTCGCATACCACACCTGCGTAATGACCTCCGAGTCAGTTATGATTGATGCAAGGTAACCTTTCAAAGTACATCAGAGTATAATATACCTTTCCGTTGGCACATGCCACACTGAGGGCGAGAGCTATCACATCGAGCTTTCTTGACCTTGCAGTGCTCACATCTGTGAAACCAAATGAGTGAGTTTTCCCAAGGGCAAGTGAAGTAATTCTCAATACATACGCTTTAGATATCACGGCTTGTCTCTTGCGAGGGCGATAGGTGCCCTCCTCGTTATCAGAACCACCCTCGTTCGCTGATTGGGCAGGCATCTCGGAGTATCATTGATCAGTGATGCTACCTTTGGAAGTGAGGAAACAAAAAGCAGACGTGCTTCAATGCTCGAAGCAAACTTAGGCGGAAATAGAACGCGCAGTCCATTCCTGACCTCATCTCCAAAATTAGACCACGGTCTGACGAGCATGCTTCCCCGCAAGCCAAGCCCTTCCCCCGGTTGTGTGGCATTGCACGCGGGGTAACCCACTAGACCTTGGTAATCCCTCCCGCGATCCGGCGCAATCATCTCCCGGAGTAGTCGCAACTTGTTTGCGCATGATGTGGCCGTAATGAACGTTGAAGCTATCAAAAATACAAACGAATTGAACATGAAGGTCAAGAATAGTGAGTGTTGTCGGTGTTTCAATACATGCATGTCCCAATTCCATCTCCTTCGCAGATTACTAGTACGCTTTTACCCCGGCCAGTCTGAGCAGTTGATCACTCAGGATCGGCTTCTCCAAAGGTTCCGAGCGGTTTCGAGGGTCGACGGTACCATCAGACAGGCGTGCCTGCATGTCTCTGAGTTTGATGTTGTCGTGAGGCCAGTGGGTTGTCGCCCCGTTCACTTGGAAAACCTTGCTCTTCTCCTCGAGGGCCTCTTTTGATGCCAACTCAGCAGGCGCATACGCTGCGTAGATGACAGTCCGGACCACGTCGCTCTTCTTTGTGGGTTCTCCACCCCAGTGAATGCACCTTGAGTCCCAAAGAATAAGGTCCCCAGGCTCAGCCTCAACCTTGACGGGACGCACCCCCCGTGCCTTGAACCATTCCATATCCTTGTCATCGAAGTAGCGATTGTCCCCCCACTCCCATGTTGCCGGGTCTGTCTCTTTGTCGAAGAACTCCTCCACAAGCGCAGCGGATCCGTCCATGACACATAGAGAACCGTCTTCTGGGCCCGCGTGGCTCAGGTTGATTATTCCCTGGATGCAGTGCAGCCCACGCTTGCGCGGTGCTTGATCGACGTGGGGCCAGGGGGCGCGCGCCTCCTTGAGATTCGGCAGAGTGATGTTGAGTGAGTCGAATCAAACGATCAATTTGTCGGTCCCCCAGACCTTGGTGAACGCATTGAGAACGCCTGGCTCCTGGCGGGCCTCCCACATGAAGCGTTCGTGAACGACGCTGTAGTTTTCGTAGGTGTTCTTGTCTGTCTGGACGGGAAACTTGGCGTCTTTCCACGTTGACGGCTCGTTAATGTCGAGAGACTCGTCGAAGGACTTAAGCCATTCAAAAGCCTTCTGCTGATAATAGCGGGCCTTCCCTGATGGAAAGGCTCCTTTCACGACGCAGTAGCCCTTGGCTTCGAGCTGGTCGCGCCAGTCGCCGCCTGGGTTTTCGATCCTTGATGAATGTCAGTCATGCCTCGTGATGAAAAAAACACATAAAGCCTCAGGAGCCACAGCTCACTTGAAAGGGCTGTCCACCTTGACAGAGGCGGGATTCGCAGCTGTGGTCGCCATGATGGAAATAAGTCTGCCAACGTGGATGGAATGTTGTGAGAGCCGTTTTGAGATCGAAAGTCGATGGTGATGTAAGCTGTTCTGTCGGATTCAATCAAACGCTCTAATACGCCACTTCTCGTATAAATGCCTTTGACTTGGGTCGAGAATTGCAGAAATTTTGACGGCATCGTAGCCTTCGAGCGAACAGTCCCGGCGTCGCTGGCGCCACCGGGGTATTAATCCCCCGGTTGGGACATTTCATCTTCCCGGCTGCCGTCAGCGGCGGATCATCAGACCGGGGCGGCACCCAGATCTAGATCCGAGCGGGATTTGTGACAGACGGCTGGCGCGAATCTTTGCCTGGAAGCAATTGAAAACATTCGAAGTGATCGTGGTAAAAACTATGAATGAGAAAATCTTGTAAATATTTTGCTGGAGTTTGACCTTTTTGCCAAAGATTATATCAAAATGCGCGTACTCATCACTGGCGCCGCCGGGTTCATCGGTTAGATTGTCGCCAGTAAATTGTTAGAAGACGAAAGCAATGAGCTCATCGTGACCGATGTTATCGAGCCGCCCATATCCAGCTCAAAATCCCACAACAACGTGAAGCTCATCAAAGCTGACCTAGTCGATGAGGCGACAAAGGTAGTGCCGGAGAGTCTTGATGCTGCCATACTTATCCATGGGATCATGAGTTCCGGCGCAGAGGCAAACTTCGAACTGGGTTATCGCGTCAATGTTGATGCAACACGCTCAGTTTTGAATCTTCTTGCCAAGAGATGCCCCGGCGTTCGCGTTCTCTACGCATCGAGTGAAGCCGTGTATGGCAGACCGGTCCCCGCGAAAAATGTCACGGAAGACGATATTCCGAGTCCGGAAATGTCCTACGGTTGCCAGAAGGTCATATGCGAGACCCTCATCAACGACTACACCCGTAGGAGCATGATCAATGGCTTTGCCCTCCGGTTTCCTACCATCTCCGTCCGACCGGGCCCTCCCAGCGCAGCAGTGTCAAGCTTTCTTTCGGGGGTAATTCGAGAGCCACTCAATGGCCAGAAGTGCACCATCCCTTTGCAAGATTGAGCTTGGCGTCACTGGATGTCTTCTCCAAAGACACTGGTACACAACCTGATGGTGGCTTTGACCTTACCGAAAGACGCCCTGCCCCCACACCGGAGAGCCGTAAATATGCCTGGATTCGGCGTGACGGTGCAGGACATGCTGGACGCCCTAGATGAGGTTGGTGGCAAGGATAAGCTGTTACTGGTTGAAGAAAAGGACAATCCAGAGCTAAGATCTTTGCTGTATTCCTGGGCCGATCATTTCGACAACAGCCTAGCCATATCGTTGGGGATGAAGCAGGACACTTCGTTTGTTCAGTCGGCAAGAGACTATTTGGAGACTATATAAACTTGGTGGCAGAGGAAAGATTCCTAGACCAAATGGTCCATCATTGGTGTAGAAACAGGAGCTTTTGATCAATAACATTATTGGGCTTTCTGATTCAGAATTGTGGTAATCTCTACGGTATTTCATTTAACATGTGAATTATCTCTGTCTATTCTTTGTGTATTCGAAGCGATCCATCTACTGGTCCTTCCGAGCTCATGTGAGCCTCCCTACTTTGCCCTCGGTTTCCTCTCGGTCGAAAGGTTACGTGCCTTTCTTCTATCATGTACGTATTGTATAGAGCATTCCTACTTCTCCCAAAACAACGTTGAAAAGTAGCGATCACGGTTATATACAGAACTGAAGGGGTAAACCCTCTCAACATCTACGTCTCACAGGATGTTCCTAAGAAATATGATAAATGACCCCACGGCAAGCCCCAGCCGGGGAGAAAAAGGCGGACAGCCCGTCGAGCCTTGTGTCACCACAACGATGCTGTTCGATGCTACAGCTGTAGTTTGGTCAGAACGAAAATCGGTGATCCTGTGGTCTTGTAAAGGATACTCACGAAATGAGGGCTTCGCTTCAATACCTGAGCTTGAGCCTTGAGTGGGACCCAGGCCAGGGACGCCGTTGATCGGTGAGAAGGCCGGATTGCCGTACTGTCCAGCTGAAAGGCTCGGCGCGATACCAGAGTCGCTGTAGGACACCCCACTCCCCTCCGCTCCACCCAGTAGAGAATTTTGTCCTGGTCTATTCGCCTCGCCCGACGCTGGCGTTGATCCCGGACCGGGACCGGGAGGGGGATTTGACCCCGCTGCGGAATCCAGAGTAGGTGCTGCGGTGGGTGCCGCAGTAGAAGCAAAGCCAGCCCCAGCGGCATCGCCATCTTGCCAAGGAGAAGCTCCAACTGAACCACTTATGATGATCTCGTAGCTCTTTGCCCCAGGTGGCGCAGGAAATGGTCCCGATATGCCCGTGATATACGCAGCATCTGGCACCGGATACGTAATTGTGGCCGTGACCGGCTTGTCGCCGCAGGTCGTGCAGGTCTGTATTTCGGCCGTGAAGCCGAGTGGCACTGACAACGAGGCTACGGTAGGCTTCGCTGCGACCCCGCTGTACGTTTCGGTTACCGCATATACTTGACGAGAGAGGCCGGTTGAGCAAAATGAATCGTAGGTCGTCGTATACGCGATGGTATGGGCGCAGGCGTCGCACCCACAAGAGTTGCAGCTGGGTGCCTGTATTTGCACCGTGATGGGCTCATTCTGAGCTACTGGCTTGTGTACGAAAGGTCTGACACAATGGCCGTTGCAAACCGAGGGTGTCTCGAACGTGAAGGCGAAGCATTGTGTGATTGTGGCAGTTCGCCATGTCAGCGTGATGTTCTTCGGTGCCGCAGAAACGGCGGCGGCGGAAGGGATGGCGACTGCTGGTATCCATCGTTGTCCTTGCATGATATGTGCTTCGTATTGTATGATGGCGGAGAAAGAGTTGACCTTTATAACCTGGGCGCAAATCCGATATGCCAGCAGCGTATGTATGCCTCTAGGCTGACGTGCGATGATGGCAAAGCAAGGCGGTATATCCTTTTCGAAGATGCTCCCTTTGTGAGCGCACTTGTGATGGGCAAGGGGGAAGCTGAGGCAAGGATTTGTGGCGCTCCCTAATGATATAAAATCTTCATAACGGGTGAGATCTGGCACCCAGACTATCCGGGAATTCACCTGTTTCGCAATGTCTCACAGACGAGAGACACGTTGTTGTTTACATGTTGCATGAGAGTAATAGTGTAACGGGAATGAAAACACTTGTTTCTCTAATTTCAGCGTACATACATTCCTGTCTCCCTGTCCGGGTGTCAGCCCTTCCATCTCCCAACGTGCCAAAACGCAAATCGATCGAGACAGATATGCGAATGTCTCTATGCCAAAGGGGCAGCGATGTTTTTCATCGGCCCGAGATATCACATCAACCATTTGCACTGCCCCTCCCGGTCCATCTGCGTGCCCGTTTTACTCTTTTGCTGCCTCCTTCAACACACCACAAGACGCATCAACACCTCCAACTAAAATTGTTTTTCCTCCCTCACATCATCGACATGGCACCGCTAGCGCTTGCCGCTGCTGTACTCGGTGTGGTCGCCACAGTGGGTGCTGCTCCCCCGGCTGATGATGCCCAACGACTGTGGTGCTTCAGGTATCTTTCAACGTACCTCGAGCCTGTATCTTTCTGAACCACAATAGTTCCTGATAGCTTGACCGTGGGTCCGGCGCATTCGTCATTAGAGTCTGCTCCGATGACCGTATCGGCGTCAACGGCCGCATCTACAGGTTCCGAGATCTTTGCGACTAGGCCAGCGTCTTCATCTTATCCGACGCACAAGAGCTCCTCATAGGGGAGGTTCCACTGTTCTACGATGTTGGAGATTCTTTCAGACAACTCCGAACCACAGGTAATCCCCCAGCTGGAGCAGTCACGAGCGGCTTCAAAACTGTTAACGGCATACTCGTCTTTCGAAATCCGGCGCTGCCCAATGGGGAAGCAAGCTTTTGTCAGGACGCCACCAGCGGACAAGTGTACATCGTTTTCACGTCTGGCCCCTTGGGCTGCGTGCCGGTCAATATCGTGACTTATGGAGGCAAGTTATCCCGTTCTGTGAACTGGTTGAAAGTAATTTCTAGATATGTATCTAACGTTTCCGAACAGCCGAGCAACGCCAGAACGGACAGATTATATCCGCCGGCTCCAGTAACTCGTCGTGCCGCACTCTTCACTGCATGATATGCTGAGAATCATACACGTCTCGCTGTGTAAGGGAAAAAAGAAGAAATTCTCAAGTGATAAAGTGCTGGTCAGTCTTGGTGGGAATTGCACTCGCTGCTAAGATCAATGTAAACGAGTAAAATCTGCCTAAAAAATCCTCAGGAAAGCACTAAGCATGGTAGTTAATCTACCTGTGGAGAAATCCTTGTCATTACCCGCATGCACATGGCGTAACGGCTCGATTGACTGAAGATCGCGGGAGAGTTGAAGATTTTCTGCCAAGTCGTGACAAGCTTCAGGTGAGGTGGGCCACTTGAAGAAAAAGAGTTGCGATCTGCGAACGGCGATCGAGTTCTTGGAGAAAAGCCGATCACATTGCCCTGATTTGCAGCGCGTACCCACCGTACTGTGAAGATCTCAAGTTGCCGTGATTTAGGTAGATAAAAATACGCACGCCAGACTACGCAATGGCGCGGAAAGCTGCGTCGCAATGCCGTGTCAAATTGAATTCGCGCACAAGCCACTGATCTACCTGAGTGTAAGTCGCATTGCGCCCACAACCGCCCACTGCGGCGTATCGACATGGGATGCATGATTTAAGGTGAGTAGGGTTTCGGAGACATGCCGTGCGTGCGTGCGGGCGGCACGGGTGGGATGTGAGCACTGACGTTCCAGCGGCCAACACCGGCAATCCGGCACATGGCGCGAGAAACTTTTTAATCAACAGCGATCGGGGCGGAAAGTCAATTCAACGTCACTTGATGAAGGAGGCTCGCGATGATAGTTTCCAGGAAGATTGTTTGCATTTATATGTACATGTACACACACTGTTTATACATGTTGTGAAGAAGCCAAAAAGGTATTTACGGAATAGAAGAACCGCCCCACACTACCAAACCCAAGGTCAACCTTGGGGTGCCCGAATGCTCGAGAAGGGCGCGTCTGAAAGCGACGGCCGGGTAGTAAGAGTGGCCGGAGAGCTGCTGCTGCGGAAAAGAGAAACAGCTTAGAGCTTGCCGTAGCCGGCAGAGGAGCTGCTGACGGAGGACGCGGCAACGGCGTCGGGGATGTCGGCGCTGCCGAACTTGTTGAGGACGGAGCTGTCGGTGCCGGCGTAGGAGCCGGAGCTGGAGAAGCTGTTGGCCTGGCAGGAGCGGCCGAGCTTGGAGGAGCAGGTGGAGGCGTTGTCGGAGGTGATGGCGAGGTTGGCGCCGTCGCCGCCGGACTCGATGGGGGCCTCGACGTTCTTGAAGACGTTGCCCTCGAGCAGGACGTAGCCGCCGGAGGTGACCTCAAAAGCGTGGCCGGTGGAGGACTCGAAGACGTTGTTGACGGCGTGGACGAAGGAGTTGCCGTTGACCTTGGGTGCGCGGCCGCTGAAGTCGTGGAAGTAGTTGCCCTTGAGGGTGATGGTGTCGCTGCTGCCGGCGAAGTAGGCGTTCCAGTAGTGCTGGCCGTCGCAGGTGGCGGAGTAGTCGGACTTGCCGTCGAACTCGTTGTTGGTGACGGAGACGCGGCCGGAAGCGGAGGTGCCGAGGACGAGGTGCTGACGGCCGATCTTGGAGGTCTGGGGAAAGGTTGTTAGTATGGGACTATTGAGATAGACAGCAGAAGAAACTTACGGTGACGTGGTCGATCCAGACAAGGTCGGTAGAGTCGAGAGTGATGGCGTCACCTCCCCAGACGTACTTGGGGTTGATGTTCTCAACCTTGATGTTCTGGATGATGACGTTCTTGGAGCCGGCGAGGCGGAGACCCTTGCCGACAATGACACCGGAAGAACCGCTACCGATGATCGACTTGTTGGAGCCGACCTTGATGGGGTTCAGGCCAGCCTTGTTGTAGGAGACGGATACGGAGGGCGCGGAGCTCTGGTAGTTGGTGCACCAGTCGTCCTTGTTGATGGCGACCTGGCAGGCGGATCC